ATTACGGTTGGGATTTTGTTTAGGTCTGGTTGGTTGTTTGGTAGGAGCTCGCCCAAGCATGCGAGACTGTAGAAAGCTGAAAAAGCAATGGCCCAAAACAATATATCTGTTTTATTAGTTGAAGTAAGTTGTTTCTTCATTTGTGAAAGGTGTTGTCGGGTAATGTGAGATTTCTGATTGATAGGCTTATAGCTGTGTGTTGCTTCGATAGTTTTTAAGAGTTGCATGATTAGAGGTCAGTGCGGGTTGAGCTCCAATCATGGTGATTTCTAGTGTGGTGATATTTTAGTACAAAAAGATAGGTCATAATAGTGGGGGTGCCACTTTTTCGTGAAGAAACGAGACGTATTTTATTAGGGAGTCTCTTGATACTGGCCAAACAGATCCGTCATAGTTGGTCCATTGGTTGGTTGTGGCAAGAGTTTCGTCTTTTTATGATAGCTTTGTAAGCCTTGTTGTGTGGCTGTTTTATGTTAAGAAGTTGTGCGGCTTGAGCGTCCAATGATAATTGGTTACCGAAAGTCTGGGAACTGGAGTTATGGAGGTGAAGAGGTAGGGTTCTGTGTTGTCTTCTTGATGTATTGCCTATTGTTTTAGAGATGGAATGAAGGTAATTAATTCTTTGTATGCGTTGGAAACGTTTGGATGACGGTAATGTGCACAAGGATTGTTAGTGATGAATTCTCAATGGCCGTTGTGGGATAATAGGTCTGCTTCTGAGTTGTATCTTTCTGGAATATGTTCAAGTTTTATGTGAAGTTGCCTTGTACTTGTATAACGTATAGCTGAGCAATTAGATCGTTAATATCTGAGTTATTACAATAACCGGCATAGTATGCATCGGTGTTAGGTAGGTTGTCTGTCCAAATTATGAGCTTTTTTCTTTGCCATAATGGGGTGAAGGTACATGCTGCAATCAGGGTAGTCAGGAGCTCTTGTGTTTGAATATTTGTTGTGTTCAAATCGACGTTATTCGACCAGGAGAAAGCAGTAAAGTAATTCTGAAACACGGCCCCGCCACCAATGTTTGATGTATCTGTGAAGAGGTTCAGGGTGGTTGGTTGGATCCATTCTGAGTCTTATAGTAAGTGAATGCCGGGCCATCCTTTGAGTGCTGAGGCCTACCACTAAAGGTCTGATTTCATTGGTTTGGTCATACAAAAGTGAAATTTGGGGTTTCCTGAGATTTCCTGGGCTTTGATAAACCGTTGGACAAAAGAACGTCCTTGAGGAATGATCTGGCAAGCCCAGACTAACGATCTGACTATTGACTATAGTTTTTTTCGATAGCACCATTTTTTGTGCCGCCACTGGGATAATAGTGCCATCAAGTGTTCCTGTTTTTTGGTCGGTATTGATGCTTGCATAGTTTCGGTGTCTAGTGTTATACCGAGAAAGGTAACGCTTGTGCAAGGGCCTTCCATTTTTTCTTGCTTGTGTGGTATGTTCAAGGTGTCAAGGATATGTATAAATTGTTGAAGCTCACGTTTACCGTCTGTAGGGGATACAATAAGGAAGTTGTCTACGTAGTAGATGATTGCGGGGATGCCTTGTTGGTGTGCGATCCATGCTATGAGGTCAGCAAAGCGGCAGAAGATTCCTCCCGAGGCACGGTTGCTGAAGGCCAACACTTTGTCGAAATATAATTCTTCTCTGTTGCAAAATCCTTGCAGAGTTTGATCCACGGGGTGGATGGGGAGGATCCGGTAAGC